TCACTGATAATAAGGGAAAAGTGTTAATTTAAAAATACTTTTAACAAAGAAATTTGAAGACTTATAGAGCATGTTTAATGTTTGGTCCCCACCTGTATGAGCTCATCAAGGCTTTCTTGAAGACTGTTTCCCAAAGTTGTGTTCCTGTATAACTGATATGCCATGGCTTAAAATGGAGCAATTACTTTTTCTTCAGGCTTGCATTGATGTCCTACAAATTTAATATAAAAGGCCAACCAGTAACAATGTAAATTATATATAATAGTCTACTACTTCATGTATTCTAATATAGAACTATTAGAACTCAATTACAAATTACTATATTAATTATTTTATAATTTCAAAGAATTGTTCAAAGTTGATTTTTCTGATTTTAACAAGTATGGTATTTATCTTTTTAATTCAGTATGCTGGCATATTCATTAAAATGTGCATCTTTATTTTTCCCACAGATTTTCACATAGTATCCATTCTACCTGCTGTCACGTAGTGACATAATATTTGCATTTGGACCCTTTATTTTCTGTTCTCTTAAAATTCCATTAGACTTCCTGCCAAGAGGATGACACTGTGACAGGAAACAGAGACAGGAAGCTGAATAAAGACGAACCGGTCCTAAAACTCTCTGACTCTACAAAGGATAATAGGTTAAATTTGGGGTAAAAAGGAGTAAGACATTGTATCATGTAAGTTTTCCATTCTTCAAGCAAAGGAAGAAAGCCATTCTGGGATGACAGGCAGGAGGGTAAGAAAAGCCACAGAGGTGTGAAAGTAAAAGGTTTGTGGAAATCTTTAAGTGTGAGTACACAGGAGCAGTAAGTGAATCTGGAGCAGAAGACGGGATGAGTTTGCTTCACAAGAGAACTGCAAGCAACAAAAAGCCCTTGAAACAACAAGGCAAGAGAGGCAGGAAACCCTGCTTATGGGACCTGAAAATGGATACTGGAGTACAGGGTTAGCATATTTACTTAAGAGTCCAGAGACGGACAGGAGGAGACACATTCAAACAATCATCCGATAAGACTTGGCAATTTTCACATTATAGCTGGCCATCATTTGATTCAACAGATCATTCTGTGATCTTGAGATATTCCTTTAGCTTTTGGGGTACCATTCTTAGTTTCTTCCTCCCAGCTCATGGAACTACTGTATATCCTGTTTTCTTTGGTAATTTTTCCTCAGTTCCCTGACTTCCATCTTCTGAATTACCCTAAGGCTTCTTAAGTCTTCTCTTTCCTGGCTTTCCCCCTTAGTTACTCCATCTAAGCTTATGGTGCTAAATCCCATCTATGTGCTGATTACTCAGAAACTTTTATCTCTTGTCCTCACTTCTCTCTTTGTACACACACGTAAAACTGTTTATTTTACACTGAACAAAAAAAAATCAAATAGCTAAGACATTTCTCCTGCAGTTAAGAGCAATTGCAGAGGACTTGGGTTCACTTCTAAGGTACCCACATTGGGTAGATCACAGCCAGTTGTAACTTCAGCTCCAGGGAACCCCATGTCCTCTTCTGGCCTCTATGAGCATACATGTGTCTGTGTGCATTCTCATTCTCTCTCTCATTCTCTCTCTCTCATTCTCTCTCTCTCATTCTCTCTACACACACACACACACACACACACACACACACACACACACACACACACACACACAGCTTCACTCCTACCAGTAACCAAGGCTGACACATACGTGATATTCTGTCTTTGACTAGCAGACTAGAAGATACATGAAGACAAGGAAATCTAGTTCGGCTATGTATTCACCATTCAGAACAATGTATGTCGTATGTATTTAAAAAATTTGTTGAGTAAGAAATTTGGTGGCATGTCTAAGTGTTAATAAAAAAATTAGAAATACATTTACATGGAGTACATTTCTACTTTACTAATGAAATTAAATCAGTGGAAACTAGACTCTCACAACCACATTCATCAGTGGAAGCTAGACTACTCACCTACTTACCACTGCCTATTCCCATATACTCCACCTTTCTGTCGTTATAGTCAATATGCTTTTATGTACATGCAATTTTCCCACCTTTGTAGCAGGCCCTCTTTCTCTAGCATATCTGAGGATTTTGTCTAACAATTTAGTCATTCCTTTTTTCTTTCATCATCAAATTTTCCCTTCCTTCCATATTTCTATCAGAAAAACAAAAATAACAAACAAAACCCCCCAAACTGGCAGCTACTTCTCCCACTGTGGGTAGAGCAACACCACCACCACCACTCTCCGCCACCTGCATTCAGTTCCTGTTTAAGTTATGTGACTCACTGTTTCCCATTCTCCCCTTTGCCTAGTCATGCCAAGCTTTCGGCTCTAACTGTAAGGAACCCATGCTGCAGGTCACGGACGCACTGCTAAGGCTAGCACAGACTAGCTCATCTGATACAGCTGACTTCTCCGGGTTCCAGGATCTCTGCGTGGTACTTCACTTTTGGGGTTGCCTTCTTAGATTCACTGGTTCATCCCACTGACTGACCCTCTTCTCCTTGTAGCCCTGGCTGGTCTGGGACTCACAGAGATCTGCCTGCTTCTGCCTCCCGGGGGCTGGGATTAAGGGTGTGCACCACCGTATCTGGCACTTCTTTCTCCTTACAAATCACAAGACAGTCCCTGCTTACTATGTACTTTCTACATAGTCATGAAGTGTAGCTTTCATACGGCTGTAAACATCAGCTGCAGAGTCCCAAATACAAATATCCTCCAAGCAATTCTCAATTCTGGAACTAACTTCCTATTCAAAATTTCTACTTGTCCTTTGTATCTCGGCTGAAGTGGCGCCGCATACATACCTGCACGGGCTTAGACAAGACCTTTGAAGTTGCCCTCAAAGTCATGTAAACTACAACGATGTCCAATTCCTAGCAAATCTTGTAAATACAACTTTCAAAATGGATCCAGTGTCCAATCATTTCTCAACATGCCCTTGTTCCGAGTCACTGTTACTAGTCACTTGGTTGGTGCAAATGGTGTCCCGATTTCCTTTATTCTATATTTGCCCCCCCCCCACTCCTTATAGCTTACAGTGGGGTCATCTTTTGAAAACATGGGCCAGAAAAAGCCTTTTTCTCCCACAGCTTTCATCAGCACCGACAATGTGGCTACCTTTTATGTCTGGTCTTATCTACTATCTGCCTCCCTCTTGCGCATCCCAACTTCCCGAGCATGACAGGCATGTCTGCCTTTCTGCCTGAAATGTTCTTGCTCAGGTACGAACTTGACTAATACACAAAACTCATCTTTGCCCAGAGAGCTCTCCACCCAGTAACGCCTAAACACTACGAACTCCCACATTCACTAGGGAACTTCTCCGTACCTTTTATCTCGCTCAAATGCCTTGTTGGCACCATATGCCAAGTTACATAACGGCCTCATATTTATTCTCTGCATAAAATGTAAGGTCCACGAGGGCAGGGATCTTTGTGTTTTATTTCCCGAGGAAACCTGCGGGCCGAGAACAGTACCTGACCCACGACGGGAGTCAAACGAAACATTGAGTCCGTTGAAGGTAAACGCCAGTGTGTGGAGAAGGCGAAAAAGGTCAGGGAGAGAGAAACTTGAAAACGGCCCTGCAGAGAGTCGGTCACGCTCCCATCTGACAACTAAGCATTACTTAGAAGACAGCGAGGAGCGACTTCAACGTCAGCTCTAACTAGCTGCCTCGGCCATCTCCAATCTTTTACGGTGGCGACAGCTGCAGAACTGCGGAGTTCCCTCCTCACGGTGGAGACGGAGCGGAGGCGCTTGTGTCCGGTGTCTGAGCAGACGCTCGCTCGTCCACCGAGCGCGGCCTGAGGAGAGCGGGAAGGCGGCTGCTGCCGCGCGGCCGCGTCTGCCTGGGGGCGGCTTCCGGCGGCCACAGCGCTCGCCACCGCCCGCCCCGCCGCCGCTCCCCCGCTCCCGGCCCCGCCGCCGCCTACCTGAGGGAAGGCGCATCCGCCGCGGCGCTAACAGAGCCGGGCACAGTGCCCGCTGCGACCAACTCCTCAGCCACGGAAACCACAGCGCTGGGCCAGCGACCCGGAAGTGCTTGCGTGACCCGGAGGTGACGCCACGAGAGCCACCGGTAGCCCCTACCTCAGCTTCCGAGAAGGCGGGGAACCCCAAGCCCGCTGGGCATCTCACCTGCTAGCCCAAGGGTGTGGGGCTGCAGTTTAGCCCAGGGAGCTATTTTATGATTAATTCTTTTTCATTTGTAACACCTGCTATATAAACTTCGTGCCTAATACCGAAGCAAATACATGGTGGCTATTCTGAGTTTTAGAAACTGATTCCTTTTGGGATCAGCCTGCGTGTTTGGTTTTCTGCTTTGAAAACAGTGATGTGTGCAGCGGATGGCCAGTGAGTACCTGAGTTGTGACTTTGGCAGCAAGGCAAAACCCGAGGCACTTCTTTGTGCCATACTGCGCTTTCCCTTGTAGCCTCTTTGTTTTTTGAGACAGGATTTCTCTGTGTAGCCCTGGCTGTCCTAGAACTCACTTTGTAGACCAGGCTGGCCTCGAACCCATAGAGATACTCTTGCCTTTGCCATCCGAGTGCTTTTTAACTTCCCCAGTGCTTTTTTAGCCTTTAAAAACCATATCCTCGCCGGGCAGTGGTGGCGCACGCCTTTAATCCCAGCACTCGGGAGGCAGAGGCAGGCGGATCTCTGAGTTCGAGGCCAGGCTGGACCGACAGCCTCCAAAACAATATAGAGAAACCCTGTCTCGTAAAAACCAAAAAACAAAACAAAACAAAACAAAAAAACAAAAAACAACAAAAAAAGACAAAAAAATCCTCGTACCCCAGAATAAAATAATCCTAAACTATGAAATGTAAGTCTGATTAAAGTTCAAATAATGTTGAGATTTTTAAACAGGCTGAAGTGGTTAGCAGTCAAAAGAGTTTGTAGCATACAACTGCAGGGTAGTAACGGCCTGCTATTTGAAAGGCTTACCAGATATCTCAAGTGTAAACGTTAACATAACTAAATATGAAAAACAAGGCACAAATGTATATTCCAACTAATTTATTAAAATGCATTAATGTTATAGTAATCTGTGCAACAAATTAGGACACACACTGGATTCATAACAAGTTCAAAGAAGAGAAAACAGCACATTTACTGATCAGGGGCTGCTCATTGACTAGAACCACAAGCTGTAGGCTGAAAACAATCAGACTGAATTCTCACCGAAATGAACTAGGCTAGTAAATACAATCCAAGATAGCAAAAGAGGTCACAGTAAGTTAATTCTGTCTAAATGACAGCATGTGGGCTTGTAATGAAAATACCTTTGAAGTATGATTCAAAGTGCAATAGTGTCTGATGAACTCGGAATTGTGCTTTTTGTGAACAGCATCCCAAGGCTGTACAAGCCAGCAGCCCAGAACATTATATCTACTAGTTAGTAAACAATCAAGTAACTCTTAGGAGAACATTAGCCTTTTCGAAGTCTGTATACAAAGGTACAATGGAGTAGCAGACAGTTTTCAAGTTCTTGTCCCGCAAACTGAATATACAAATACACAAAAATTCAAATGCCAAAGCTTTCACATCCTCCCCCCCCCCTCCCAAGATAGGGTTTCTCTGTGGCTTTGGAGGCTGTCCTGACCTAGCTCTTGCAGACCAGGCTGGTCTCAATCTCACAGAGATTCTGAGTGCTGGGATTAAAGGCGTGTGCCGCCACCACCTTTAGACAGCTATCTGAAGCAAACAGCTTAGTATCATTTTTACTAATTTGAATGCATTAAGTGTAGATTCTCCCCCACCCCACCCCCAGGGCAGGTCTCACTGTGCATAGCCACCCCGGCTGTCCCCAAATTCTCAATCCTCCTGCCTCAGCCTCCAGAGTGCTGCAATCACAGGCACATGCCATCATGCTTGGCCTGAAAACTTGTGGTTTTTATCTAGTATTTGATTTCAAGTGTTATATGTGAATTTCTCATAGCAGTTTAAATTTGGGTACACAAGCATTACATATATATAATTGCAATAAAATGTCCCGTTCAGATTGTGGTCAGCCCTTACTGTTCCACACTGTTTTATTTCTGTTACCGTTTAGAACTTTAGACCTCCATGACTTGGCCTTCTGACAGAATTCATTCAGAATCTCAGAAGGGGAGCGCAAGGAGAAGGGCTCCTGGGACAGGTGGTTTTGGACTGGTTTAGAACACTGGGCAGACAATGCCCTGCTGTCACCCCATTCTTGATGGTCTTAGCAACTCTCACTAGCACAAATGGTAGACTGCAAGTCTACCGATTCCTCTTAGTTCAGCCCTCTGAGACTTGATAGATCCATTTCTGAAATATCTAAATACAGAGGCAGGAGGAGTAGAGGGAGACACACATGACAAAAATCAAAGCAGAATGGGGTGTCACCTCTGTAGTCAACTGTCTCTGTACAACACTGTTAATTTTCTATCCCCCTGCCTTTTTTTTTTTTTTTTTTTTTTTGAGACAGGATTTTTCTGTATAGCCCCTGATGTCTCAGAACTTGCTCTGAGGACCAGACTGGCCTTGAACGCAAGAGAACTCCGTCTGCCTCCTGGAGTGCTGGGATTAAAGGTGTGTACCACCACCATGGCAACAATTTTCTACTTATAACACAGGAAAAAGAAGGCCAAAGCTACTGTCCCCTTTCATACAATCTACCTGTTCTATCAAGAAACTGGCCTGCTCTACCACAAGTATTCTAGTGCTAATTCCCAACTGAATGGTTCACCGCACAGAATAAACACTTCTACATGAGACTGCCTCTTCAAATTCCCTGAGCACGCACATAAATGGCTGCAGTGATGTGGAAGAATACTGTCAAGGAGCTGGTGACACTAAGTCGTGACACTTGGCACCGAAGCCAACATTAACGTTTACCAAATACAGAAGGCAGTCAACTTGGATACTAGCTACTACACCACTGTTCAGACCTACTTCTCTCTGAAGATGAAAGGGTAAGAGAACAAGATTGTCATCACAAGGGCCATTGGCAATTTCCTTCTCAAGCCACATCTTATGTGACATCTACTTTCCTTGTGGATACAGGAAATGGAACCACCCACTACCATACAGAGTACTTCCCTTAAGAGGGACACTTTTGGTGGCATGTAGGTAATAACCAAGTCTTTATTGAAGCTGAAGAGTGCCAAAGCTAGTAATCGAAACATCATAAATTAAACTTGTTAAGTTTATCCATGACCCCAGCAAAAAGTCAAAGAATTATTCCATGCATTTTCACCTCAATTAGTAATGGAAATTAAAATATGGAAGATGTTATATTGTTACCAATTAAAAATCAACTTAATACAGCTTTTCCTCTAGCCTACTAGTAATCAACCCAGTCTCACAGGCATGTTTACATATATTGTGGGCACATCCCTATACCACATGCCATTCAAGTACAGGTTAAAGCAGCTTTCCCCCATGATTCAAGTGTTAACACTGTTCCCTTTTTTTCCTTGAGTCAAGGGCTTGCTATGTAGCCTAGATGAGCCTCAAACTTAGAATCTCCTGTTTCAGACTTCCTAGTGCTTGGAATTCAAGGTGTATGCCATGATACTTGGCTGTCCTTTCTGAATATTCATTTTTTAAAAAAGGTTTAGGTGTGTGTGTGTGTGTGTGTGTGACCATGGTATGCAGGTGCCCAGAGGCCAAAGAGTGCATTGAATCATCTGGAGCTGTAATTATATGTGGGCATGAACTGCCTGCTATGAGCACTGGGAACTAAACTTGGAAGTGCTCTTGGAATCACTGACCCAGATCTCCAGTCCCTTGAACTTTAATGTTCTAACTGAATATAGGCTACTTCTACTTTTTAAAAATTTACAAAAAAAAAAACTTCTGAAAAAAAGTAAACACAATAAAAGGCTACTGTCTGTATTTTGAAACTGAAGATCCAAGTACTTAGGAAGAAACCAATGGTAGTGCTCAGCCTACAAGCTACCCAAGGGTAAGTTCAGAAGGATGTCTATGGAGCTATATAGTCCACGCTGCCTCTGTCTCCTAAGTGCTGGGATTAAAGATGGATGCCACCATGCCTCACTCTATACAGCTACTCTTAAAGTTTCTTTCACCAACACAAAGTGGTTTTCGATTCATTTACTTCAATGACACTAGTACAGGATCTAACTGAAGAGCTGGATCCAAGCTGAGAGACTGTGGAGAAGTATTTTACCCAGAGTCCTCCAGCTTGACAGTAACTGGCTTTAATTTAGCAGGTCAAATTTATGCCTGAGAAGGACAAAGAAGTAAAGAAACATTCCCTTTTGTAATAAAAGCTTAACACTAAAAACTGACAGTAGTGAAGGTCATGTGTTCAGGACAGGAGGGAATAATCTTCTAAGTTTAGTTCACACCTGATTCAATTTTGCTTTGCTAGGTCACTCTTGTAAATAGCTTATAGGAAAGGCTGGGTGGTTTGAAGCTGATACAGCAACTAAATATGCCAGACAAGTTCATGACACAAGACTAGATGAATTTGTTGTTTTGGAACGATTTTGTAGGTAACTAAACCCTGCTTGGAGGCACAAATACAATTTATTTCAGTGTTCAGCCAGGTACTTAACCACATGAAATAAGGGCTTCCGTACAGTAAATGTCATCCTGAGTGCACGCACACCAGCAGTACTCCCATTCTTACAGAAATGGCCCGTGTACAGCACTGTCACACCTCTCTGCGTCGGTCAAATAGCACTGTGATCACAACCGATGAGGAAGTACTCTGGTAAAGTGCTCTGTGAGAGCATTTCAATGGCAGCCCTTCTGCTCTACAGATGCAGCTGCCATGAATGCTCACTGCAGCCTCTGCAACACCTCACAGGTTCATACACATGGACACAGCTCAGTTCACATCAGTGAACACATCTTTAGAGTTCCCTTTCTTCCATAAACAGTTCTGACTTTGGGTAAAATAAAATGTCCCTTATATACATATATACAAAGCCCAACCACTACCTTCTCAAAGTCTCTGGATCTGGTTCTAAGACGTCTTTAGAGAGGAAAGTGAGCCATTCCCCTGCCTGCACCGGCACCACATTATGTGCTTTCAGGTGAGGAGTAGCCCGGTCTGCTACTACTGACTAGTGTGTGCATGACCCTGGGTACTCCGAGTCAGTTTACCTGCTTTAGGACAACTCAGCGTAAGCTACCCAGGAAATGTATCCAACCATTTACAAAAACAAGTCTTACATGCACTTTACACTTAAAATGGTGTGTACAATCTTCCACTAGATAAGTACACACTAAAAAATATTGCCCCCAACATAAAAATATATATTATTTCTTTCCTTTGTCATTTATGTATATAAATATTTTACTGAAGATGCATCAAATTAACAAATGCAAAAATTGCTTTATATAAAGTGTAGTTCTCTGCTATTTAGCAATATAAAATGATTACAATTAGTCGTTAAAGAGCTAAATTCAAGAATTGCAAACCATTACAGCAGTGAACAGTCCCTTGTATAAGAGTCCATTTGGAAAGGAGTCAAGTAAATTTTGTAACAGATTACATATAAACTTGAGCCATGAATGCACTATGACACACAACAGCCCCACTGCTCAGGCGCTCTTTGTCTCATCTGGACAGGACGCCGAACCTACTGCTCACTGTTTGGTGGTTCTTGTTTTCCATTAAGCTCTTGATCAACTCTGTTCAATGAGAAACACACATAATTAAAAACCAAGACATTGGCAACTGGACAACTTCTTTCTTAAAAACAAAACTTTTAGCACAGATTATTTTGTTACATCAACAAAGCTTTGCAAACAAAGCAGATACAATAGAAAGAAAAATAAACACATATTATTTTCCCACAGAAACAGAATTTTTCTAAGCAACAGTACACTGGCAAGGATACAAACACCACTGTTTATGGTTATAGGATACTTTATGCCATAGCCATAAACATCCTCAGAGCCCATAATTTATAATTCCACTACAGCAGGAAATTTAATGGTAAGACTGTTGAAAGGAATTAACTCTCTCAAAAATGACGGTTAACTGCAATTTATATCACTAAGTCACCAGTGACCAATAAACATATTAAAACCTAGAAACCAAACTGTTTTACAGAATGGTAACTATTTTTCTGGAATTCACTGGTACACTGTATACAAATGCCTTCCATTCAGAAATATCTACAAAATTACGAAATCTTAATGGATTAATGTTGGGCTGCCCAGAGGTCCTACAAATATTTAGGAACACGGAGGTGAAAATGTAACAGGACAACAGTGCTAACTCTCTGTATAACTTGAACAGCTGATGTGGGATGTTTAAGTCACACTGGTAAAAAGCAGGAAGGTACTTTTCACACCTGTTTCCATTCCTACGATCACCTGACTATCTGCCAGTTGTAAAAATACAGTATGTTGCCATCAAAGATGAGATACCTACTCCTGTAAGGCCTACAATATATGGCTGATTTTTTTCAATATGAACTATTATTAAGAAGTAATTGTAGACATCGCTGAAACATGACACCTGTCTGGCCACAGACACCAAGTTGCAGAAAGAAACAGGGGAAACACTTAAAAGTACTCTTCTTCAATCCTTAGTTCCTGCCAAACACTGGGAACATCCCCATCTCTGGGATTCTACCTAACAGATGCCACACCCACAACTCCAAGTTTTGTTTGAAACATATTTCTCTATTCAAAGCTAAGTGAAGAAAAGTTATTTCTCAAACATACCTTTCAATGTTAAAGAAAGTTTTATAAAAATTAAACGCTGAAAGATACATGTAATGACCCTATTGAGGACCGAACACAGGCAAAATGGGAGAGGGGGGGATGGACCCAAGATAAATTCATTTATGCAAGCAGACACACACACACACACACACACACACACACACACACACACACACACACACACACACTTTAGCAGAATGAACAGAGATTCAGGAGAGGTAAGAAAGTAGAAGGGAAGAATAGTCAAGATAAAAGTAACCACAACAGGTTCCAAACAATGAAAATAAAATGTTAGCGTTTTAATTCTTATGCGACGCTTGAATTATTTTTGACAGTTGATCAAATATGAAAACCTTTTTAAAAAGGGTGGTGGTGAATACCCTTAATCCCAGCACTCGGGAGGCAGAGGCAGGCGATCTCTGTGGGTTTGAGACCAGCCTGGTCTACAAGAGCTAGTTCCAGGACAGCCTCCAAAGCCACAGGGAAACCCTGTCTCGAAAAACCAAAAAAAAAAAAAAAAAAAAAAAGGGAATTACCAGCACACTTTCTCAACAGAAGCACCTTTTTTTTTTTTTTTTTTTTTTTGACATAGGCTCTCTCTCTGTCTCTGTTATCCTAGCTGTCCTGGAACTCACTCTGTAGACCAGACTGGCCTCAACTCACAGAGATCTGCCTGCCTCTGCCTGCCAAGTTCTGGGATTAAAGGCGTTTACCAGCTCCCAACTGAGGCAAATCATTTTAGTCTAGAAGGTAGGTGGCTTCAAACTACTCTATAATTATCGGTGCTATTTTGAGTTTGAGCCACTCCTCTGGCATATACACAGCATTGCCCAGAGGGGAAAGCAGAGCCCATTACCCAAGCCACTGCTTACATAACTTAGTGAATCTTGGTTAAACTATAGAGTGTCATCCAGAAATGGCATGTTAGGACTCTTTTACATGGTTAGCTGAATTATCACAAAAAGAATCAAAGTACCCAAAATTAAGACTATCCCAGCAAAGAATCTAAGTGTTTCTACATTGGATAAAGTAATATATGTGAATCTCTCATCTTAATTCTTTAGCTCATAGTAAGTGATATTTGCTAATGTTAACAGCTGGTGTGGTGGTAGAGAGCTACAGCTTCACATTCAAATACTGAGGCAGAAGACTGGGGGAGGGGGGAGGGAGAGGCACCAGCCTGGGCTATAGAGTAAGAACACCTCTACAACAAAACAAAACCCCAAAATCAATAAACTAGACTCAAGTCCTCCACTTTTCTAAACTACCATGTAAGATGGCAAACTATTTTATACTCCACCTTTCATCTTTATGGCAAAACATTAACAAATGAAAGGTTGTTACACTCAAAGCAAAAGTGTTCAAACTTAAATTTAAAGTGGAAAGCAGAGGTTTAACTGTTAAATGGTACATTGAATTTTATCACATGTAGTTTGACTGGTTAGCAGGCTATTTAATTTAAGCAAATAAAGAAAATCAATGTTGGTTAGCCAAAGAGTATATGCATTGTAAATATAACCATTAACCCTGAGGGAATAAGCTATTGCTAGAAAATGTCTGTGTAACTTTCAAAAGCAAAGTGAGAAACAGTCTTCAAAGGCCTGGGATTTTAAACAGTGATCCCAGTCATTCCTCTGGGTTCAGCATTGTATTCTGACCAGGACAAGGAGAAGGGCTTTGGTTCCTAACAGGCAGTAAGTATGCTCATATTTGGCAGCAGGACCTTGGGGTTCACTCTGTACTGGGCTCTGGGCAACATGTATATTTACAAGTGCTATCTCTCTGTTTGCGAGCTAACCAACCAGCAGCAGGGTTAGTCTTTGCGATGCAAATGGACTAGTCTAGATGCAACCCAGTCAAGGTGTGCATGTACCTTTTTTGTCTCTTTTTAAACTTTTCTTCTTCATACCTTGGTAGGGAAGAGTTATTTCAGTAAATACACATTATGAGAGTTAAAAAAGAAAAAGACTGAAAGTGTAGGTTTGCAGGTACAACTACAAAATGCTAATATTTAACACATGATGTAGAAAATAAAAACTGACTCAGTAAACTCTTTTGGATACACTTAGGCTTAAATCTGAGACCAACAGAGACAGAACACATTCCTGCATCACAGCACCATTGACAATCTTACCAAGTCCCTTAGAAGGCAGGTGGAAGTGAGCTGTGACACAGAAAATTCTAGCCTCCAGAAAATAATTAAAACCAAGTTAATTTAAGCAACAATTCATTTCTTTGGCAATATGTGTTCTTTCAATAACATGATAAACTCATTCCATCTAGGAGACCAGTATGTCAAGTTGAGAAGTTGCACTTCAAGCCTGGTCCTTCAGGAAATTTCTCTTTCACACTATACACAACATTTAACATATAAAAGATTCATAACCAGGCATCACCTCTGGTAATGTAAAAATAAAAATGTTGATGTACAGGGAAGGTGTGGGCAAAGTTTCCTATACTTCCTTGTTACAAACTCCTCTGTTCTAGAATGTAGAGAGGAAGGGAAAGCATTCCTCTTGCACAGAAACAAGGACAGAAAGAAAGCAGGGCAGGGACGTACTGTTTGATGCACTCTGGTATGCCAACATACTCCATGGGAACAAGTTCCGCGAGTTCGGCCAAATTAAAGACGTATCTAATTTTCTGACTGAATTTTGAACTAGGGAAGAAAACACAAACAATTACCTCAATCTTTCTGATACACAAAACTGACATTTCAATACAAGAAAATTTTTTCTTAAGGATTCTTAGAAAATTACCTGATAAATGGTCTTGTAACAGCTAGAAGTGTTCGGATAAACCAAGAGGGGTGGACAATGATCAGAGACTTTAGGTTTTTCCGTAATCTGGAGATTAAAAAAAAATAGAAATTTCTATAAATTATTACATGAAAAGTTAGGCATAAAGAAGTATGTACAAGTTTGTACAATATAACTGAAAAAGAAGTCACCAAAATTTTCATTTATGTATAATACTATTTATTTGTTTATTTATTTTGCTGTAGCACTTCTAAAGATAAGAAAATGCATTTGGGAATTTTAAACATCCCCCCTATGCTGTGAAATAAACTATTTCATTTGGAAAAATTCAGGTCTCAGTCTGCCTGTTTTCGAATGTCTTCTAGTACATCCAGTGGTACCCAGAGCTGCCAAGCAGGAAAAGAGCTCATCCCAAAAATAAAAACAAGGTATTCTTTCTGTTTGAGTCTGGGAGAAGCTAGCACTTGTTTCTGGCACAAAAAGCACTGACTTGTAAGAAGGACAGGACAAAGGAGCGAGCAAAGAAGTCAGACCCAACCAGCTTCTAGAGATTTAGAAATACTAAGAGAGTAAAACCTCTTTTATAGGCATTTGCATATGATTTTAAAAACATCACAAAGGATAACTAACATGTTTGCATATGAAAGGAGCCATCTGAATCAGCTACAGCAAAAATCAAACCACTAGCAAAATTAGTTGCTCCACAGGCGTGGACAAATGACTCATTCTCAAGACAACACACTTCTAATGTTTGTTCTGAAAAGCTATAGCTGGGCTAGTATCTTTAATAAACTTGAGAGTTAGGGAAATAGCCTTGTAGGTGAAGTGCCTGTTGTGTAAGATTGGAACCTGAATCCCACTCCCCAGAACCCAGGTAGAAAAAAAGATCATGGTGCCGCTAGCCTGTAATCTCAGTGCTGGGACTCTGTAGACACCTAGTTTAGTCTCATCAATGAGCTCCAGGTTTTAGTCAAAATTGTCTAAAAAACAAAGTAGACAGTGCCTGAGTTGACCTTAGGTTGACAGAATTTGTGCAAAGCAGTACAGAAACATTCTCCATCCTTTCTCAAGATGAATGTGTTCCAAATGGAAGAATAATGGAGAGCAACCTTGTGTTTTGAAGATTAAAGTCACTCTTACTTAATAAAGTATGGACTAAAGTTATTCTCCATGACAATGTATAAAGCCATCCTTAAAAAATAAAAACATTAAGAAATTGGTAAGTATAACTTTAGAAATCGATATAGTATTTTTAAATGGCAACAGAAAGTATACTTTAATAAAACTACTATCAGAATCTCTCAGCAAGTCTACATCACCGTCTATCAATCTGCTGGTAGCATCTCCTCAGCCATCCCAGACTGGGCATTTTCCTTCGAGTTGTTGCACCGTTTAAGTAAATGATCATGTAGTTCTCTGCTACCAACAGCTCTAAAGTGCCAATAACATATCTACAAAAACAAATTAAGTACATGTCTTAAATGTCACCATTCAGGACTGAACTAGGCTTCCAAATGAACACAATCCCCATCTTCCCTCCATAATAAGAGCAAACACTTGTAGTAGCTGATATGACTGTTTAAAACAAAATCACAGCAAATCTGCACATACTGAACCACTGTGTGGTCAGGGGAAAGGTGAGATGGGGCACGACACACATTGCTTTTCTCTGAGCATGCTTCAGGGTGTGGCAGTAAAAAATGAGGAACTACACTAAACCAAGAAAAAGAAACCCTGTCAGCTCATCATGCCAAGTCTCCAGGGACAGATGTAATTTTGAGATGGCCAGTTACCTTTTAAAACAATGTGTTTCCAAATAATGAAGTGGGAACAGATAACCTATACTAATTTTAAAACTATGTTTCTTCTATTGAGTTGGAAAATACAGTTTCATAATGCCAAAGGATAAAGACTTGGAAACTCAAAACAGGGTCACTTCTATATTTTGTTACTGTTGTTGCCTGACTAGGATATACACATGCCAGTTCCAGCTATCATTGAACTGTATCCCTAGTTCTTTTAGATATTCTGATGCAAGGTCTCATAAAGTTGCCTAAGTTGGCCTTAACCTTGATCTGTATGTAGTTCAGATGGGCCACAATTTTCCGAATAGCTGGGATTATTGTATTATGCTATCAAGCTGACTTCTCTCTAATTTTTACAAGACTTAGTTCACTAGCATAAACTATGAGTCTAAGTAGCTCAGAATTCTGTTCAAATGTCGTGTTAAGACATACTTACTTAAAGAGATTGTCCATCAGATATCTATAGTTAGGCTGACCACTTTCAGGCATAAAACAGACAGCAAACACAACAATGGCATTTAAACCATCCCCATAATATCCTGAGAAGAAAATAAAAAAAGAAGGGTAAAATCTTTGAAAATCTTTGGCACAATTTTACGCTGAAGGATTGGAATTTTTAATTTTGCGCGCGCGTGTGCCCACGTGCGTGTGTGTATATATGAGAGAGAGAGAGGGAGAGAGAGAGAGAGAAAATGCAGAGCTTCCAGATGAAGGAGGATCGTCGTGATGACCAAATGCTGCATCTGGCAATGTAAATTAAGTGGGAACAACTTCATATGAGAAAGAAAAGCCTGTCTGGCCAGTGTGGGGACTTGAGGCTTTCTAACACGTTCATCCAGAGTGAACTGCATCCTGATAATGAAGATGCTGACAGTATTTGCACAGCTCCTGAGGGAACCCTTGGTACAGTCAGACCGATGGAGTGACAGCCTACAGTTTCACAGCTTTCTGACTCACTTGCAAATCTTTCATAGTTCATTCCTAAGGGGATTAACTGTTTCTGTATATCCCATAAATAAGCAAAGCAGGTGCCCCATTCAACAAGTGGAATGAGCAGTGCTCCGCTTAGCTAGATGAGTTGTGCACGGAGTCAATGAGAAGCTGCAGTCAAAGGGGTGGCTTGTGTGACACTACAGCACCACAGTCACACGCCAAGCTGAACAACTCACACCTAGCGCTGCGGCAGGTGCACAGATGCAGTTTATTTGGACAACCAAGTACTCAGTGATAGAGAATAAAGTAGACACACACGGATGAAGCTCAAAAATATGCCGAATGACACCATGTGACAAGTGAACATGGACTTTCTTAAGAGGCATGGCTGACTATGGAGCAAATTATTAGTAGCTTTTAGAGGGTGAACTCATTAGAAAGGGGTGTAGAGCTTCCTGAAGAAAGTGAAATGTTCTATATGAGCACAGAACATACCTATGTTGCATATACTTACATGTCTATGTATACTGAGGGACATACAAGCTGCTTTTATTTGGGTTTTTTTTTCCAAGACAGGGTTTCTCTGTGTAATAGCCCTGGCTGTCCTGGACTTGCTTGACCAGGCTGGCCTGGAACTCACAGAGATCTTCCTGCCTCTGCCTCCTGAGTGTTAGGACTAAAGGTGTGAGCCATCATGCCTGACTGACATAGGAGTTTTTGTTGAAACTTTCTATGTATTAAGATAAAGTGTAAGCCAGGTGGTGGTGCACGCCTTTAATCCCAGCACTCGGGAGGCAGAGGCAGGCGGATCTCTGTAAGTTCCAGGCCAGGCTGGACCGACAGCCTCCAAAACAATACAGAGAAACCCTGCCTCGTAAATACAAAAAAAAAAAAAAAAAAAAAAAAGATAAAGTGTAAAGGGTTCAAGAAACTAAGTCCTTTAGAGAAGTGAAATAGGGTAAATGAAGTACTATATTTTTAAAACTTACAGTAAACATATAAAAGTAATTTTAAAAAGTTATGTGTATGGTGCCTGAAGAAGCTGTAAGATATTGGATCCCATGGGACTGGAGTTGCAGATGGCTGTGAGCTACCACGTAGGTGCTGGAAACTGAACTTGGGTTCACTGAAAGAACAGCCAGTAAGTAGTTTTACCATTGACCCATCTCTCCAGGCCCTGTGTAAGTAATTCTTAATTGTCTTTTTATCATTTCACTTCAAGTCTTTTATATTCCTGGGGCTGGAGAGATGGCTCAGCAGTTAAGAACACTGGCTACTCTTCCAGAGGACTCGGGTTTGATTCCCAGCATTCACATGGCAGTTCAAAACCATTTCTAACTCCAGTTCCAGGGTGTCTGATGCTCTCTTCTGACCTCTATGAAGACATGGGACACACAAATGGTGGTGCTCAGGCACACATATACGCAAAATATACATCACTTTAAAAAAGTTAAAACATGCCAGGTGGTGGTGGCACATGCTTTTAATCCCAGCACCTGGGAGGTAGAGAAAGGTGGATCTTTTTGAGTTCCAGGACAGCCAAGGCTACATAGAAAACAGAAAACTCTGTCTCGAAAAACCAAACCGCCTTCCCAAAAAACCCCAAAACAACTGCCCTTCCAAACAAAAAAATCCTTTTACATTCCTAAAATGACTTGAGAAATTTTCATTATTCTTTTAATCTCCAGCAACATTTTCTGACAGCCTTTAGATTTTGGACACTGCATCTAAAGATTCCAAGCATCCTTCTAACCCTTACCTCCATGGCTAATAACTTTTTTGTAGGGTTCGATTGCCTTCATATCCACCCTGTGGTCCTGATCTCCAATTCTGAACATGCGCCAGCGGCGACCATCCTCTTTTTCTTCCGTGGCTGTGTATTCAGCAATTGAGCCTTTCCTAATGATTTCCGTAGTTTTGGGTTTGGGAAGATCGTCTGTTAAAATAAAAGGCTTTTGAATCACAAACTGTTATTTACAAAATAAAAATCAAAACTGTATGTTAACCACTTTACTATCTAGATTATTCCAAGTTTTTCTGTTTTCTTATGAGTGTCCTGCTATGCATCTCCCCAGGCTAGCCTCACACTCATGGGCTCAGGTGATTCTATCACAGTCTCCCAGTATGTGGGAGAACAGAACAGGTGAACACCACCACATCCAACTATTTACAAAGAATTTTCAGTACACCAACTGAAATTATCATCCACATAACAAGGAAAGTCTTGCTCTTACTTAAGACCAATTTATGACTTTAAAATCACTTTACCAGAACTTTCTAGTGCATCACTTCCACCAGGCTTAGGGAAGACAGAGCCATCGAGTTCTTACTACACTGGCCTCACATGCTTTCCCAGATCCTATTCAGGACAACAGTGTCCATTAGAGTTACTAACACTTTACTTCTAGTAGCCATCTGAGAATCTGAGAGCCAATTGGTTTTTTTTTTGCACATACATTAATTATAAAACACTGTAATACAAGATAGAAAGTGGTTAACTACTCAGTGATCATTTTCCATTTGATCAGTTTTATAAAGCAGGTAGGTATTTTTCTGGAGAACACATGCAAAATTTTACATAAATTAACACTAGCCAAAGCACCAGTGATTACATACAATTTGTTTGCAGATTGCAGTTTAGTTGATTTAAAATGAAGTAATGATTTTCAAAACTTTAGTATGATAGTCCTTACCAAAAGATGGGGGGGAAGGGAAACCTACTGCATGTTAGTTGTTTCCAAGACAAAGCTGTTAACGGAAAATATCCTTCCAGGCAATGACTACAGCAGCATTAAGGAGAGAAGAGACAAAACACACAGGCAGAAAACTATTTCAGTGTCTGTATAATAGACTGCTTCTTACTGGGCTGCTTATTGAACCAGTAAAACAGGGAAGAAAAAAAAAAGCTACAGAGTATCGTTTATTATCTATAAATGGTTTACTGTTTTAAGTACAACTTTGATGCAAAATTCATTTTAAAGATGAAACAAAAAGGTTATTAACATTTGTCTAACTATTATAATTAACTATGCTTAATTCTAGAAAGCACACAAAGCAAAACACACAGCAATGCCTCTGAACACCAAGTAATTAGAATGGTAACATCAGACTGGGGCACACACTACTTCAAGGCACAGTTTACATGTGCAGCAGTCTCCAGCAACTCTCCTGCCAGTCCTTAGTATTTATTACCATTATTATTATTATTATTGACAGGATCTATGTAGTCCTGGCTGTCCCTGAACTCGCTATGTAAACCAGGCTAGCCTGGAACTCAGAGTCCCTTCTGCCTCTGCCTCTGGAGTGCTGGGATTAAAGGGATGTGCCACCATGCCCAGTACCTTAGCTGTTTTTCAGTATATTCCTTAAATGTCTCTTTAGAGGGCTTTTTTTTTCCTGACAAGAATATAATGGAATACTAGGCAATACTTTTGAATCAACTATGAAAAAAACAAACTTTACACTATGGGCAAGTAAGGAAAAACAAAACTAAGCTAAATGAATGCTACCTGCATAAGCTATAGTCTTGAAAACTTCCAGTATTTTTAGAATCTTCTACTTTAGTAACAAACTTAGGAAATGCAGAACAAAATACCATATTTCAACAAAATCCTCCAAAGGATTTTAGCAGGTTTTATGTTAAAGATTTGTCCATATACTACTTCTCCTAAAGAGAACACCGTGGTAAACACTATGTAATATAAACATTCATTCATAAAGCTCATATAAAAACAGTGAATTACCTTCCCACTCAAATTCATCACTGTTCTCTGACGGGGTGTCTAAGCCGTCTAGGTCAACCTCCCCACCTTCATCCAAATCATCCGACCACACAGAGCCTTCACTAGGATCCAGGGTCAGGCTGATGTCTGGAGCCATTAGTTTCTTACGTACTTTATTTCCATTAACTTCTAATGAGCCTGAAATTGGAAAACAAGGAAGAAGCCTGGACTGCTCAGATGGCCCCATTGAAAGAGAAGCATTTCAGTTACTTCATTCTTGAGAAAAAATTTTCAAGAAAATCCCAAGGCATTAATTCATAGAACTTGGTTGTGACCACTGCCACTGCTTTTTTAAAAAGATACATTTCCACTCTATTTTTATTTTATGTGGATGGGTGTTTTGCTTGCACGTGTGTCTGGGTACCACATGTGTGTAGTGCCTGAAGAAGCCAGAAGAGTTCATCAGATCCCCGAAACTGCAGTTATAGATGACTGTGAGCTGCAATATAGATGCTAGAAATCAAACCCAGGTTCTCTGCAGGATCAGCAAGTGTCTTAACTGCTAGACCACCTCTCCAATTTATTTTTATTTTTAAACGTGCATGTATGAGAGTATGTGCACACAAGTGCAGTGCCGGCAGAGTCCAGGAGAGGGCACTAGACCCAGGGAACTAGTTTATAAGCATTGTGAGATGCCTGAGGTGGACTTTGAGAATTGTACTCCCTCTTCTTAAAAATAATTATTTACTACTGCTTCTTTGTCAAGAGATCAAGAATCTATCAATGTCCTTTTAAACAACAGAGGCAGACTTTATAGTCAAGTTATTAATATGGTCTCTTTCACTCTATAAAATTTTCCAAAACCAAAGGTATTTTTTATGAAGTTAAATTTCTTAAGGATTTGCTAAAAATTTTCTCTTTGGCTCCATCATAATAAAAGTTCAATGTGTTTTGTTTTCCTCTCTACAAAGAAATGAGTTCAAAAGTAATACAAACTTCACTGAAAGTCTTCAGTTCTTACCAGGTTGGCTGTCTGGACCAGTTACATCTAGTATATCTGCTTCAATGCTGTCATCTTCTGGTAAAGGTCTAGACGACAAAGACACATTCTTTAACCCAGAAATTAAAAACATTTCTTTTGAAGCTCAAGATCCATTAAAAATATGGCTCAGTTATAAGGACTAAAACTATGTTTCTTAAGCGCTACAAATCTGTTTGTGTGCTTGTGTATGAGGTCAGAAGATAATCTCAGATGTTCCTCAGGTGCTGTCCACTATTTGAGACAGCACTCTCACTGGCTTAGGACAAACCAAATAGCCCAGGCGGGCTGGCCAAGTGTGCCCTGGGGATCTATCTGGTCTCCATCTCCCCAGTGCTGGGGTTACAAATGGACACCACTATGCCTGACACTCCATTCACTCTTATAGACAGCTGATATCCCATCCCTCTATAAGCCTAAGACCTTAGCTGAAAGCACAGTTTGCTAAAATCTGAAGTTGAAGATATGAAAGATCACCAATCACACAGTTGGAAAATTAAATTCACTTTCTAGATCACTTGTAACATTTTTAAAGAAGCTCAACATACATGAGCTGACAGTTCAATAGTAACTCTGAAGCTTTGTTGGAAATCCACTAACAGAAAGTACCGCTCACATTGGAAAATCTTCATCTTGCCATTCTTCTTTGAGCTCCACACCTTCCATCCTCAGCCTGGATTCAATGTCAACTTCCAGTTCCTGGCAATCCAGGCAGCCGAGGTCCTGGGAGGGAAAGATGGACAACAGCTCCATTTCAACTTTACTCTTCATCTGCTGCAAAGGGGCAACAATCCCACCCAAGCTCATATCTCCACTCCAGCAACAGAGAGGCACTAGTTTAGTGAAACTTGACCTTATCTCAGATAAATAAATGTCACCTCTACACAGAATCATAACTAAGCCTTATGTCTTAGTTCTGGACGGGAGATTCTAGAAACCACACTAGTAACTTACAGGCACATGCATGCTCACCAGGGCCCAGTGCTATGCAGTATTTATAGCTCCTCCTTTCCATTCCTGAGTCACTTACAGTCTACCCAGGAGCTTGTCCAGCAATGTACAACAGAAACAGCTGACAAATACTGAAGTAAGAGGTATCATTGAGATTCAACTCATTTACATTAGAACAATCAATGGAACAAGTTACTGCAGACTGCACTAAACCACACTTCTGTCTTTATCTTCCTGCCCTTTAGTCTAGGCTGTCTTCAAACTTGTGACCTTCCTATTCCAACCTCCTGAGTATGGGCCATGATGCCTAGCTTCACATTTATAAGAGTCACACAGTATAACTGGAAGAACAAAATAATGAAGTAGTAGTAGTTCCAAGTGGTTGACACACAGAGAGAGGGTGGCATGCCTACATAGCACACCAACACCCTTCCATACTACTTGATTTTAAAAACTGCAGAGCATGGTAGCGCACACCTTTAATCCCAGCATTTAGGAGGCCGAGGCAGGTAGATCTCTAGGAGTTCAACGTCAGCATGGCCTACAAAGCAAGTTCCAGGACAGCTAGGGAAGCTATACAGAGAAATGGTATTTTGAAAAGCAAAACCCAAACCAAAACAAAAATCCCCACCTTCCTAAATAAATGGTGAGAATCATTCACATTCATATCAAATGATATTCTAAAGACAAACTACAAAGGACATTAAATTTCCTGAAGTGTTAAGTTTCATACAGCAAATTAAATCCATTCCTCTAATAACTAGAGGTCTCTACCTCCCAGTTTGAGTACTTACATTTTTATAAATCTATTTATTAGCATGGGGGTGGGGGGTGGTGGTAATATGCTAACTTTCTGTCGATGAACTACTTGCTGTGTAAACAACCAGAATAGCTCCCACAGTCTTAAGTCCTACCTTACTACTGGGTATGGAGAGGGGGAGGATCAGAATATTCTGTGTGTCTTTTTTAAATAACAAGAAAAAAAGTCTAAGAAATAACAGCAGAGACTGACAACTGCAATGGATATATTCATATCTTAGTACAATGCTCAGCACATTATAGCTTTAGCAGTGAAGGCACACCATTATCGGGCAAGCCTCTGTTCAACCCCTTAAGCTTAGTTTGCTTTCTGAACTATATAAATAGGATTCTTGTTATGAAATCCCCCTAAAAAATGTTATGAAAAATACTACAAGAACATAAATACATGCAATATAAATTACTGTTGATGATATTATTCTTTATTTGCTGGAAGAAATATTTTATCTGTGAAATGCCTCTTAACTGCTTTATCACTTGAGAAATAACTTGTTCAAAATTGTCATGGAGGCTGAGGTTTGCAATCCCAGTGCTCTGGGGTGTACAAGAGGATTATGGCTGAATGGGAGACTCGTCTGGGCTATATAGAAAGATCCTGCCTTAAAACAACAACTAAAACAAGATGACAAAAGGAGCTCTTTATACACGGGCTTTTAACCCTCAGCTATCTCAGAGGCTGAGGCAGGAAGACTGCATGTTCAAGGCCACTGTAAGCCACTGAGTTACACCCTGACTCCAAATAAAACAGGAAGGCAGGGCTGGGGCTGTAGCTCAGAAACGGCTTGCTCAGCAAAGGGGCCCTGAATTCAGTTCTCAGCACCACAAACACACAGAAAGCCCAGGTCCTGGAACCCTTGCAGATCACTTCCTCAAGTGTTACGCTAATGTTCTCAGTCACGTGATGTTCATACACCTCTATACATTGCCATGGGCTTTTAGTTCTGGGGACGGTTATCTCAGCTAGTTAAACAAAGGGAACAGAGAGAAACAGAGGTTAACTCCCCCATACCATCGAGAACTTTGGGGGCAGCACACTAGGTAGATAGAAACAAGGTCGACAATTGAGCTCTGTTCTTGGAAGCACTTTATCACCAGGCAGCTGCAGGAACAGGAAACAAGAAAGGAGCTGAAATAAGTACAACTGCTCTGGAGGGAATCCGGATGCCTCTGACTCACCAGCTTGTTGCAATTTCCCAGTTTTGCCTTTAGAATTTTAAAATGTTACACTAGGGAAATAGTGCTTTGATACATTATTTGTCAAAACAACATACTTCCACAGAAATAATCTGACATCTTGATAGCTTGGTGGCACATCTTTCTTCCAGTATCTTTGGCAGTCATAATGAAATCAACAGCCTTTGACCCCAGTCAGGTTAAAAATCAAAGACCATGGATTCCTCCATACACAACTTAAAAGAGGGGAGGTGTGAACCCAACCAAGATGGAGAAGGGAAAAGCCATAAGCAGTTTAGGAAGAATAATAAAATTAAGTATCAGGATCCTATTTTGACTAACTTCTCTCAAAATTGTGAAAGATACCTATAAGAATACATTTACTAAATTATCAGCATGCAGAAGGTATTGGAGATGTGTTGACACCTATAAGTAGACTAAACCCTAATACCTGATCTCCAACCATCTGTTAAGAGTTATAAACTGGTTGTAATGTAAAGTTAGGACTATCTGTAACATTACTGCCTTGCTTCATAGGATGTCAGCCTACCTGAAGCCCTGACTGCTGTCAGCCAAAGCCACTCTTGAGTCTGAAGAGACAGTTGTTTTCACTACTCCTGCCAGCATCACTCTGAACAGAACAAACAGAACCACTGCCCAAAGGAGTATTTCACCTTTACTAGCCATTTTTATACACATTAATAGCTGATGATTAGCTCAGATGTGTGAGCTAATGTTTATCTTCGACAACAAGGCAAAAGGCAGACACCACATCCTGATTCCTAGATCTACAGAAGAACTGTATGCAATATAGCATACTGTCTCCAGTTCATTACCAACTCTACACACATGTCTTTAAAACCAGACTTGGTTCTACTTAGTGTGAAATGTACTGTAATACTTAAAGATGTAACTATGCTGATTTGTGGTAATTAGTTCCTTTTCCATGCACACACATATCACACTTCCTAGTTTAACAACACCAAGCTAAGCTAGGAAAGACTTGAAGACTAAGAATAGCATTTAGAGAGAGAAAAAAAAGCCCAAATTGAGAAGAACCAAGCAAAAATGTTCGAGGTAACGAAGCATTGGTAATTTCTAGCATGGATAACTTAACTAGATAACGTCAATCCTAACCCTGAAGAAACATCCATTCATAAGTTAAGAGTTTCTACAAGTGATGACCAGAAGCCTGGCTCAGTGGTTAAGCATTCTCTCTGCTCTTCAGAGGACCTTACTGCAGTTTCCACCACCCACACCTGTAGTTCAGAACAGCCTAAAACACCAGTTCCAGGAGATTCTGATGCCCTCTGCAGTCACCCACCCCATGTGACACTGACACATTAAAAGAAATCTTTGAGGAAGAAAAAATGAAATTCTACAACTGCAGGAGGGTTCTTATAAATTCTAAGGTAAAGTCCGTTTCATTCAAGGTGGGATTTCAAGAATAAGGGAAAAGATCCTAATCAAAGCAAAAGTGAGGCTAAAGAAAGCAATACTAGGAAAAACAATCGCGGATGGACGGCACTAGAACTGCCATGATATACACTGTAAAAGCTGTGTCCTCAAAGAGTTCCCAGGACAAAGGAAGCTTCAAAGCAATATAATAAAGACCCATGTAAGTTTCTGCTTGAATGTCAACTGACTCAGGGAGAACTCTTCAGTGGTATCGGGTGCATATAGCATCTTGACCGGTACTTAAATGAAGAGGCTAAGTGTCTGAAAACAAGCAGGGACCCGGCATTGACGTACACACCCTACCCCGGGATAGCACTCAGGTCGGTGCGAGAGAGCCGGATGACTTATAGGATGCTGTCTGTGTAAGCCGTCTGCGTCCATCTCCCGGGGCTACGGGGTGCATTACACGCCCAAGTTTCTTTGTTCAGCTCCCGGATAGACGCCGGATAGGAACACGGAACAAACGTGGCTAGGGGAAGCCAGGAACCGGGAGGTTCCGCCCCAAGGCACTCAGCCACAGTCGGAAAAGGAAGGGGGCGCGAGACTGGCAACAGAGCCTGGGGCTGGGCGGGGCCCGGCAGCGCGAGGACCCGGAACGCGAACACGACAGTCCCCGGCCGCCGCCCCCGCCTGGCCTTGCCGCTCCTCCGCAGCTCTCCGGCTGCGCCCCAGCCCGGCCCGCTACCCCGGCCGCGCTCACCCCGGAGGAAGCCGCGGCTCCCTCGTCCTCTTTGCCCCTCCAGGCCGGCGACGTGGGGCTGACGGCCAGGTCGCAGAAAGCGGCGGCGGGCAGAGCCCGCTGCCCTTGGTCGGCGGTGGAGACGGGGCCCAGCGCTTCCCGGCCGGTCGCAGCTGCAGTCCCGGAGGCAGCAGCTGACCCGGATTCAGTGCGCTCGCCCTGGCGGAAGTGACCACCTCCGGACCGGCGCCGGGCGCGGCTGAGGGAGGAAGCGAGGACCGGGCGTCATCACAAAATCTCCAGCGTCCCTCCCCCTCTGCGCACGCGCGATTGTCCGGGTTGGCTGTCTTCTGCCGGCTGAATCCCTGCCTTGTAGTTTAGAGAGCGCTTCGAAGGCTCACGCTCTTCCTCTCTCATCATCTTGCTGTATGAAAGGGCCAGTACTTTCTTTCTGTTTGCCTTTACTTAACATTACGTTAACCATATTACAAAGTGAATGCAAAGAAGTTGACAAAAAGCCCATGTCTTATGTGGGGGTAGCCAGGTCCTAGAGAATCTACTTCGATAGAATTCTTCCCAGTGAAGGAAGAGCTTTTCTCTCCAGCTGTGCTTCTGGGAATAATTAGTCCCCAAGTCCCGCCCGCCCCGCCACTCTTATGGGTGGCTTTGAACTCCTCCCTGTGTGGTTGAATAGCCTTGAACTAATCCTGCCCCAGCCTCCAGAGTGCTGGGATTACCAACAGGATTGTTACCACGCCTAAGTGTTAGAAGAGACTGAGCCTAGCTAGGGCTTCCTGCCTGCTAGGTAAGCGCTGTACTGAGATCTCATTCCCTCACCCTTTAAAGCATGCTTTCCCCAATTATATATGGGTCGAATCTTGATGATGTAGTTAATTTTTAAAAAATGAAGTCTTACGTAAAATAGTTTATCATCACCTCGACAGCCCTAAAATTGGTTGTAAAAATGCCTCAAAGGATCTCAGGTCTGTGTGGACCAGTAACGATTGTCGGAAGGGCTCCAGTCTATGACGCGTACTTTTAAGAAGCATCAAGGGACTGTTATTTTGGAGGACATAGCCAGACTTCTTAGAAGTTGCACTTGCTCAACCTGTGAACGGTCTAGCAGTTAAGTGGGCAATTCTATTAGGCAGTCCTAAAGGGAATGGTAAAGTCAGACATTTTAAAAATTGACCCCAAACACAGCGCTTTGCAGTCACAGTCCAGATTTGTTCTCTGTCGGTAGAGAGTTAAGTGTTCTGTGACTTAACTACAAAATGGGAGAGGGGGGATAATGCCTACCTCACATGGCTCTTTTGAAACAAAACAGTACACATTTAGAAGACTTGGAATAGTGTGATCACATGTGTTAGACATCATTATTTCCCCTACCAATTCCCTTAATTACTGGAGGAAAAACAGATGAAAAATTGATCAACAAAGTTTTAGTTAAACCACTTGGGCCATGAATAGCATTTCCTCTGGTTTTTCATAGTTCAGTTCTGCAGTGTGCAGAGTTGCCCACAGGGTGGCAGAAAATCGTTTACAATCATGTGAAGGAGTGAGGTTTTTGTGTGGTCTTTAGTTTCTTTATTTTTAGTAAGTTTGTCACGAAATAAACTTGATTCATGTTTGGTTCTGAATAAGCTACTCAGCTACATTTCCCTTTTATCTTCATTTCATGAACTATTTATACTTATTGTTGAAACTATAGGTAAGGTAAGCATTATGAATGGTTACATTTACATATCCTTGAGATTTGAATATACATATATTAATTGCATGTCTTTCTAAAACATCACATAATGTGGTTAAGTTTATAATATATTTACAGATTTCTCAATTTACTTTTAGTTTTCTTTTAAAATTTTTTTATGATGCTTGGAAATGAATCCAGGGCCTCTGCAAGCATTCCACCACTGAGCTACAATTCAAGCTCTCCTTTCCTTTTTGAAATATATCCATGAATTCCTTTTCACACCTAATAATTTCATCACATTTATGTATTCATTGACTTATTTCACAGTTTTACACGACAAGATCTCCAGTAGCCCTGGCTAGCCTCAAACTTGCTATGTAGCTGAGCCTGACTTTGAACTCCTGATCACTCCTGCCTTCACTTCCCAAGTGCAGGAATTCCAAGAGTGCACCATGTGCTTACTTTTCAACATCATATTACCAATCCTTTATTCAACATTTATGTAGCTCAAACTTTTCATAGTTTAAAACATTCCAAACAATGTCCAAAAAGTCAGGAATTCAGGACTACTAACATTTTTAAATAATACATTAGTTACATTTTAAAATAATATATTCAATATATTGTCTTTAATCTACACAGACTATCTTTAAACCAATGTATCCAAATATTAACCTAAAACAGTATTGAATACTATCTCAATCTCGTGTTAACAGACGCTGGAGGTAATATTTATTGTATTTTTTAAAGATTATTTTATGTGTGTGAGTGTTTGCTTACATGTATGTTTGTGTGCCGTGTGTGTGTGTGTGTGTGTGTGTACACCCGCACGTGCCAGAAAAGGGCATCAGATACTGTGGGATAGGAGTTATAGATGGTTGTGAGTTGCTATTTGGGTGCTAGGAACAACTGAATCTAGGTCCTCTGCAAGAGCATCCAGTGCTCTTAACTGCTGAACCATCTCTCCAGTCCCTTGTGTGGTGCCTTAGATGCTAAACGATAGGAGTGTCTCAGTGTAGGTGGTGGGAAAGCATCTCTCTGGGAAGCTTTGCTGTTAGACACATGGTTTCCACAAAAAAGGATCATTGGTAGCCTGGAAATTACTAATACTCACTTGCTTTGCCTCTCATTTAATTTTTGTTATGTGTTGATAACTTTTTCTGTGTGCAAAACCAAGACCTTTCTAAAAAGATTTATTCTATTTTATATGTATTATGAGTACATGTATATATGTGTACCACGTGTGTATCTGGTGCCTGTCAGGGCCAGAAGAGGGTGTTGGTTCTCCTGGAACTGGACTTACAAGGGGGCTGTGCACCACCGTGTGGGTGCTGGGAATTTAACCTGGGCCCTCTGCAAGAGCAGCAAGTTGCCTCTCCATTCCCATGATCTTGGGATTACATTTTCTGTCTATTTCCCCTGTCTACATGGCCTCTTTCAGGGAAGCCTGGGTGAGTTGTGCTGTGGCACTCAGCCTCTTGACTTGCTTTGTTCTGCTTTGCGATTTTCTGTTCCCACCATAGTTCTCCCCTTGGGATGTGGTACCATTCTGCTCTAAAAGGGCATGCTGTACTGAAGTAAATGACTTTTGTGAATGGTGAAAAGGACTGGAAAGATGGCTCAGTGGGTAAGCACTCATGCTGTATTTGCAGAGGACCCATGTAACACAATAAAAACGCAGAGACTGTGCTGCTCTCCACCAAGCCTCAGACTACAACCCTCAGAGTTCCTGTCTCCTCCTGCCTGATACTCCTCTCTGCTCAGCTATAGCTCTCCTGTCTCCATCTCCCTCGTGCTGGGCTTAAAGGCGTGTGATCCCAACTACTGAGATCACCTTGTGTGAGCTGTTTCTCTTTTATACTGGATCAATTTTGTGTAGCTCAGTGTGTCCTTGAACTAACAGAGATCTGTCTGCCTCTGTTTCCTGAATCCTGGGATTAAAGGTGTATACCACCACTGCCTGACCTCTATGGCTAGCTAGTATGGCTACTGGGATTAAAGGTGTGTATCACTACTGCCTGACTCTGTGACTGTGGTTAGCTTTGCATTTTGATCTCCAGTTGCTTTATTAAATCATAAATAATATCTTACCACAGACGCAGGCTGGTTTTGTTTCCAGCACCCAAGTCGAGGGCTCACAACCACCTGTAACTCCAGCTTCAAGGGATACAAACCCCTATTCTAGCTTCTATGGGTTACCTGCATTCACATACACATAATTGAAAACACGTAGTCTTTCTACACTGCCATTTTCATCTTCCTGAAAGCCCTGGTTGATGCTCTCAAGCATCAGCAGTGCTGCAAAGAGAGGCAAACACCAGGCTCTTCCCAGGTCATTCTCCAAAGTCATTGTCTGGTCCCTAACTTTAGTAATGAAGCATGACTACACTGACTAATTTGAAGTCACTGATGATCACAGAGCTAAGAAAATCATTGTGAACCTCACAGGCAGGCTAAACAAATGGAGAGGGATCAACCCCAGATTTGATGTGCAACTCAAAGACCTAGGAAAATGGCAGAATAATCTGTTCCCATCCTGTAGGTTTGGTTTTATTGTTCTGACAACCTCAGATGGCATCACAGGCCACGAAGATGCAAGATGAAAACACACAGGAGGGAAAAATCCTGGGGCTCTTTCCCTAAGGTTGTAAAATATACATAAAGTGCAACAAGAGAATAAATCTTTTTTTAAAAAACCAGTAGTTTCCCAGCTTACCCTGATCTCTCTATACACCATGCCTTGCATATGGCAAAATCAGGGTTATCTATTAGAGTGAGAAAGTTTCTCAGAGACGGTTGTCTACAGAGTAGTCCTGGGAATTCCTTCTGGTTGGTTGAAGTTCCTTGGGCCAAGGGTAGTGAGGAGCACACGTGTGAGTGTGTGTGCATGTGTGTGTCTCTGTGTGTGAATGTGTCTATGTATCTGTGTATATCTCTGTGTGTATGTTTGTTTGTGTCCATGTGAGAATGTATGTCTGCAAGTGTGTGTCTTCATGTTTCTGTGTGTGTGTATGTATGCATGTATGTATGTGTGTATGTGTGTGTATCTCTGGGAGTTTGTGTGTGAGTGTGAGTATCTGTGTGTGTTTGTGGTC